CTCTCTCTCTCTCTCTCTCTCTCACACACACACATACACACACACCCTCCCCACACACAAAGAAACCCTAAAACCCTAGGTTAAAAACCCTTCCATGCCAAACCACATTCGCTCTACTTCACAATTTTTTTTGTATTTCCGTGATCCATTACACGACCAGTGAGCAGGTAAGGTAGCAAATTCATTCACGTTATAAGAAAAACAGAACGTTGTTTTACCCCCGCATACAACAGAAAAGAAGATTTAACCCAAAAGTTCAGGACGGGCAGATAATCGTGAACCAAGACCCGACCCATAAGTTTTTCCCACCCTGGATTGACAATGGTGAGGTGGGGCGTAGGAGGGAGAAGAATCACACCTTCGACACGGTCAGCGCAGGGCTCCATTGCTCCTTCAATATATCCAGACAGATGCTACCGGCGCTGTTGACATTAGGATGAAAAACTTTAGTCCTGAAGGAAACCTGTCCACCAACCGACAACAAAGAATCGGAGCAGGAACAAGTACTTAGTCGCTAGGCGTCTTCTTCAAGGGAGATCACTGTGCACACACAAGGGCCATGCACTCAACAAGACCTCTAACACAATGCACCCACCATCCCTTCGCCAGATTTGCCTCTCAAGTGTCTTGGTTCTGGCGCTCACTCATGAAGTGCACCCACCATCACTGTTCCTTCACTGGAACGCATCTGTGTGTGTGTGTGTGTGTGTGTGATTAATTCCACCACACTTTACATCCCTTCGCCCCTTCCGCTCCCCCCCCCCCTCTCCTCAACACACACACAGACGAAGTCAATCTTCCTCAGTCCTTTTGTTGGACGGCATCGTCAACAAATCCAACCCCCCTCATTCATGAAGCTGAAAATCGAACACATTCACTCGACAGTCCAACACCGACGGTATCATCAGCGCATCACTTGCCCTCTTCTTGGGCTCCCGACACTAATCAAAGACCTCGTCAAAACAACTCGCAATCATAGAGATCACCAATCCAATCTTCACAGTGCCAATCAACTACGTGACCTTTGATTACCACCACTGCTCTACTGCACCATATGTCCATCTCCGACAGCCTCCCTGGGAAACTTGACCATCGTCATATGCCATGTAAGCAGCTGCACTACCTAGGTATATGACGATGGTCACGTCTCCCAGGAAGGCTGTCCAACAAGAGGACTGTGATGCCAATCCGACCACCAACAGACGGTGCACAGCTGACAAAAGACCTTACCAGCTGACAATTCATTGAATTTTCGTTAACTACGCTCATAGGTGCACCTAAGACTGGCTGTCTGACGTCTACATCTTAACAGCACGTCATGACATAGCGATCACCATCCCCCCAGCATTACTCCTCTTCTGCGAAGAGAGATTCATCCACCGGACACGGCAAGAGGTGACTGAAGGCATACTCACACTAGCTCTAATTTGAATGCATCTGACCGCATTTACAGCCGGACCTGGATGCATCTGACAGCAAATTACGTCCATAAATAAGGGACAAATGCCCGATTGTGAGTACGCCCTGAGGAGACTGCATCTTGCAGTCACGACATACCGTCACTCGAGCGAACCCCATCCCCAACACCTCTCCCACCCACTTGTCCCTTGCCAGACGCCAGGCTAAGAACGATCCTCCACGGTGCTCGACTCCAACCATGGTGCTTGAGCTTTCCGATGATAGAAAGCTCAAGCCCTTCACACCCATATACACAGCTTCAGCCATTCCTGAGCTCCTACCCTCAGTGCTCACACAGCCATTACTGTGTTATAATAATAACGGGCACCCTTACCCCTTCATGGGGCTCAATGGTATATTGAAAGACCCCTGGAGATCGAAGCCCCTAGACCCCGGTAACTCATGCAACTCCGTGTAAGAGATCATCTGGCGACCAATCCGAAATAAACGGATATACCGACATCTCTTCCTTTTGGTCATCGTGCTTCCTAGACATCTCTTCTCACACATGAGGCGTTCCCGAGACGGTCCTTCCTAAACATCTCTTCCTTTTCGTCAGTCCTGCATGTAAGATCATCCATCATGCATTCGAAAAGAATTGCCGGTCAAATTTTTGCGTATGAAAAGTTGTAAGAAAGTCTAAGTTCCCACAAATCCCTCGTCCGTACCGTTCTCCAGAAAGAAGGATAACAAAAACAACACCGATTAATCCTGGCGTCAGGAGGCGGCGATAGCGATTAATCCTGCGGTCAGGAGGCGGCGATAGCGATTAATCCTGCGGTCAGGAGGCGGCGATAGCGATTAATCCTGCGGTCAGGAGGCGGCGATACCGATTAATCCTGCCGTCAGGAGGCGGCGATACTGATTAATCGTGCGGTCAGGAGGCGTCGATACCGATTAATCCTGCGGTCAGGAGGCGGGGATACCAGGTGTATCAGATCAATGAAAATACAGGACCATCTTTCACGGCAGCCCCGATTTCCCCATCTGAAATCGAAACAGTCGCCCCACCCTCCTCCCACCCACACACAGAGCAGATATGACATTACACTAAATGAACCACAGCCAAAAACCAGATCCGCAGAGCGAAGATCATAGCTTAGTTTAAAAAAAAAAAAAAAAAAAAAAAAAA